TGTACTCACTGTGGGAAAAAGCATTTCTTGGTTGCATATAGAATCCACCTAACTCATCATTTGATGATGATGCGAAACTTTGTGAATTTGTGAATTAGTTTCAGAGACAACCGTATCTTAGATCTGATTTTTTTCAAAGGACACTGCTCTACACTCCGTTGCTTTCAAGCAGAGCCTCTTCCAAGTGATAATGCATTAATTCACGGTTGTCTTCAGATGGTCTCTTCGAAAAGTTGTAGTGTCGTTCATATCTCTTATGCATTTGACCTCACAGATATTCGCTTAATTACAAAAAATTGACTTATTGGATTAGCAAAGGCTCTTGTCCATAACGACCCTACAACTCTTTCTGAAATTACGCCAGCTGTTTAGAATAAAATCCTGGGATTTGGACTAACAAGAATTCCGAAAACCAACGCTTCCGAATCCACCGTTCTTCACTTTCTTTTGATTTGACTGGAGGAATTGAGGAGGCAGTTGTACGATCGATCCGCTAGATCGTTATCTGTGTGTCAGAGGATCGCGGGGAGTTTTGCATCAACATCTAGGGAAGGGATTTTAGCTAGCGAACATTACATTTCTGTAGGTAAGAAGACCGGAAGCCGGCTTGTGCTTCAGGTTTTGCGTTAATTCTAGTTCTAATCTTCAACGAATTGAATTTGTCATTCCGGTAGATCGAGCTTACGCCCCTCGTAATTCCTCTTTTATCAGTTTACCACCTCTTAGGTGTACGCCTAACCGTTCTCATTTTCCGCCTTCCACTCGAACTTAGCTTTTGTCTACATCAGTAATATTCAAATCAAAATTACGTAACCTTTGAACGCCGGAAGAGGAAAAGTTACTACTGTCTGTTTTATTGCCAAACACACTAATTTTTAACTTTGAAAAGGGTCTTCCTGCGATCTGAGTCGGTTCTCTTTATATCAGTTGGTTTCTTAATTCACTGATTTTGTACAAAGTTTTCGTTCACTCCTATTTTCAACAATCCTTGCGAAATGTTGACAACCTTGATGAGATTATCTGCTTTTCATTGCTCTGTCAAGCATAAATCTTCATGCTCAGAGGGGGTTTCTCGATCCCTTCAATTTGACCCCATGCGACGAATTCATCAATCACTGCGGCTTGCGGTTATAGTTTGCGCGGCTCTATTATTTTCTCTCTTATGTCGACACGCAATGAAATCTTGA